TTTCCCTCTGAGCACACGAAGGGAGACAGAGAGAACTCTGCCGTCTCGTCCTCTTCTTTTATTTATTTTTAAGGGTTTTATTTCTAGAGAGGGAAAGGGAGGGAGAAAGAGAGGGAGAGAAACATCAATGTGTGGTTGCCTCTCGTGCACCCCCTACTGGGGACCAGGCCTGCAACCCAGGCATGTGCCCTGACTGGGAATCGAACCGGTGACCCTTTGGTTCACAGGCTGGCACTCAATCCACTGAGCCACACACCAGCCAGGGCTGTCCTTCTTCTTATAAATACAGTCACATGGGGGGAACACTGTTCAGTTCAAAGCAAATGATTGTGTCTTTTTGATGAATGGTACTTTTATTAATATGAAATCCTCCTCATTTCTAGTAATGTTCCTTTTCTTGAAGTCTATTTTATCTGATATTAGTGAAGCAATTCATATTATCTATGATTAGTGTTTGCATGATACATATTTTTCAGTCCTTTTACTGCTCATCTTTTTGAGATTTATATTAAAAGTATATTTCTTAGTGATAACATACTTTGGGTTTATCTTAAATTTACAGCATTCTCTGCCTTTAAATTTAGTTTATTTCTTTTTTTAATTATTGATATGGTTGGCTTTAAATATACCACCTTGCTATATACCTTTTTAACCCATTTGCTCCTTTTTTCTCTTTTCCTGCCTTTTTAAAATTACATATTTTTAAATATCCCATTTATATCTCCTCTGTTGGCTTACAACAAATGGATGTTTCTCTCTTTTTCCCCTCTCCCTCGCTCCCTAAAATCAATCAATAAAATTTTTTTTAAGTGCGAAGAAAGATCTCAAAACCCCAAAATTTTTACCTTAAGAAACTGAGAAAAGTAGAGAAAACTAAACACAAATCAGAGGAAGAAATAATAAAGATGCAAGCTGAAATAAATGAAATAGAGAACATAAAAACAATACAGAAAAGTGCAAGTCAGTTCTTGAAAAGATCAAAAAAAGCAAGCAACACACTTTTGGATAGGCTGACCAAAAGAATACAAAAGAAGAAGGAGAAAAGAAAAAGAAAGAAGAAAAAAAAGAGAAAGCGGACTTAAATGAGTATATCAGGAACTAAAAAGGAGACATTACTACCAACCTTATGGAAATGGAAAGGATGATAAACCAGTGTATACCGACGAATTAAACATTCCAGATGAAATAGATAAGCTTCTAGAAAACCACGAAGCACAAAAACTAATACAAGGAGAAACGCAAGAAGGAATAGAGAAACTGTATAAACTTACCTATAACAAGAGAAGAGCCCTGGCTGGCGTGGCTCAGTGGATTGAGCGTGGGCTGTGAACCAAAGCGTCGCAGGTTCGATTCCCAGTCAGGGCACATGCCGGGGTTGCAGGCCACGGCCTCCAGCAACCGCACATTGATGTTTCTCTCTCTCTCTCTCTTTTTCCCTCCCTTCCCTCTCTAAAAATAAATGAATAAAATCTTAAAAAAAGAGACTGAATTTTAATAAAAATAAATCAATTAAAAAAAAAACAGTCCACAAAGAAAATCCCAGGACCAGATGGCCTCACCGAGGAATTCTCCCAAACTTTAAAGAACAGTAACAGCGATCCTTCACAAACTCGTTCAAAACACAGAAGTGAACGCATCTCCCAGCTCATCCTGTGAGGACTCAGCCGGCATTACTCTGACTCCAAGACCTAAGACATCACAAGAAAAAGAAAAATAGAGACAAACACCCCTTCACACTACAGATGCAAAAATGACGGATAAAATGCTGACCAACCAAATGCAGCGACGTGGAAAAAGAACTTCGCTCGAGATTCTTTCCGACGCCCCGCCCTCAAGTTTCCTGGCTTCTCTCTCTGCTCTACTGTGTGATACGAGTCCCTCCGGTGACCTTTTCATTTTGCTTATTGTAGCTTTTAATTCTAAAAATGTTCCTTTGTTTCTTATCCACAGTTTCTGTTTGTTTATTTCTTTGCTAGAATTTTCCATCTTCCTTTTCATCGCAGCGGTGTTTCCCTTTGTTTATCGAAGCCTGGTTATATAGCAGCTGCTTTGCGTCTTTGATAATTCTGACGTTGGGATCTTTTTTAAAAAAGAGTTTATTTCTTTATTTTTAGAGAGAGGAGAAGGGAGGGAGAAAGAGAGGGAGAGAAACATCGATCCATTTGCCTCTCGTACGTGCCCTGACCAGAGACCAAACCTGAAACCCAGGCTCCTGACTGAGAATCGAACCAGCGACTCTTTGCTTTGCAGCATGATGCCTGACCCACTGAGCCACACCGGTCAGGGCTCAGAGTTGGTGTCTTTTGATTGCCTTTTTCTCACTGGTTGAGACTCTTCTGGCTTTTCAAATACAAGGCATTTTGCATGAGGGCCCGAACCGTTTGAATACTCTGTCATGAGCGTCTGTGTTGCTGAAATCCTCAAGAGGATGCTGATGTTTTCGTTTCAGCAAACCACTGACCTGGTTAGGTTCACTCGGGGGCCGAGTTCTGACCTCCCTTCTGTGTGGGCTGCGGCTCCGAAGTCAATTCGGGGCTCAAAGGCTTTGCAACGCTGTGTGACTCTGCTCTGCCCCTGCCTGCAGCCTCCACAAACTGGTCTGCTAACTGTCTACCTCTGAGCTCAGTCCCCAAGCCCGCGGTGTGTTGCTAAAGGTCAGAACCCGGCCTACGCAGCTCTGAGGGCAACCCAAGACTTCATAGGTAACTGTCTCTCTCTCCAAAACCAATCAACCCATAACAATAAAAAGTGAGAACAACGTGAAGCAGATGAAGTAAAACAAAAGACACAAATTCCAGAAAGCTACATCGTACCCATCTGTTATACGTTCAAGGGAAGTTATAAAGAAGTCAGGGTAATTGTGCTAAGACATTTTAGACGGAGGCTAGCTACCGTGACTAAGTTTAATTATTTAAATTTGACCTTCTTGGCAGCCGCAAATAAAGGGGGGTGGAAATAAAGTGAACTAGAAAGCTCTTTTTCCCTAACAGAGTCCCACGACACTTTATCGGAAGCCTCCGGGGGAAGATGGTTTTCAGAATTCAGAACATTGGATTTTAGAAGGACAACAAACTCACAGTTATTAACAACCACACCTAAGACAAAAACAAACTAAGCAAACAACTAGAACAGAAACGGAACCACGGAGCTGGAGATCACGTGGAGAGTTATCAGCAGGGGAGTGGGAGGGGGAGAGAGGGGGGAAAGGTACAGAGAATAAGTAGCACAGATGGTAGGGAGAAGACAGGGGCAGGGTAGAAATAGCATAGGAAATGTAGAAGCCAAAGAACTTATATGTATGACCCATGGACATGAACTAAAGCAGGGGCGGGGTGGGGGATGTGGGTGGGAGGAGCTGTGCAGGGCAGAGGGGAATAAAGGGGGGAAAATGCGACAACTGTAATAGCATAATCAATAACATATATCATTAAAAATAAAAAAAAGAACATTGGATTTTAGACCACCAATAGCGCAGACATAGTGGATTTTAAGTGACACCTTGACAGAAGCAGCCCATGACCGGGAGCGCTCACGTTTCCATGGCGACGTGAGGAAATATTCACTCCAAGACTTCAGCTGTCCTGACACCGGCCGGGTTAGGTGTTGCCGCCACGTGAGTTTGCCCGTAACTTATGAAAAAGTCTCGGTTTTTGTAAATAGTTAGATCTTTGCACGGCGGGCCTGAGATAGAAGCTGTTAATTAATCTCAAGGGGGGGAAATGTTTTCCTTGTTCAGAAATCGAATACCACGTGGAGCTGAAGGGCATTTCCCAACAAAGCAGGCAGGTTCACCCCTGGACGTTTTACAAGCAATGCTCTGTTTCAGCAAATTCTGTCCAACACCGGTGGATGCGGCTGTCCAGCAGCCAGCGTGGAGGGGGCAGGGATGGGGAGGGCAGGGCACAGGGGTGATAAGAGGTGGCTTCCACCCTGCAGGGACATATTGCAGGGGGTTGAGAGGGGCAAGACTGGGAGGGTGAGTCCTGACAGTGGGAAGACTTTGCAGGGAATGTGGCTAGATTCCGAGTGCTTTCGGCTGCAAGTAACCAAGACCCAGGCTCAGGGTGGATGAGCAGCAGGAGACAAACCATCTCCTGACAGGCGGTGCAGGGACAGACAAAGGCAGCCTTTGTGCCGTAAGCCTTGGGGTGTGTCTTCTCTCTCAGCTTCTCTGTCTACATTCCCTCTGAGCACCGGCAATTGTGTGAGCAGTACATCTCGTCCTGATGCAGCCCTGGGTCGCAGCCAGCTACCGGGGATGATGCCTGCCCCTTCTGTCTGATCGGTGGTGGGCACGGGCCTTGGGCTGGACCCCATCACCCACGTCCTCCTCTTCCTACTGCCCGTGCTGGACACGCCCTGCTCTGGCGAGCAGCCGGGGGTGGCCAGGTCACGATCACAGGAGACTTACCTGGGCCGCGGTGTCAACACGAGCTTCGCCGCTCCCCAGGACCCCCGGACCCCCTGAGTGCTGGGCGGGCACCCCTGCAGCAGTGTGCTTTGGGATCACCTCCCCTGGGGACTGCAGTGGCTGCAACGGGGCACTTTCTGGACTCTGGGTGGCAGGGTGAGGGGAGCAGGCATCTGGGTGAGGGACAGAGTGGCCCCTCTGACTTTCAGAACCCCCGGGGCCCACTGGGGAGGGAAAGTTTGGTGCTTATGGGGAGTGCTAGGGACAAGCGCCACCCCTGTGTGCGAACCTGCCATCGCAGCCTCCCCGAACATCCATGTGTTTTCTCAGGGCCCTTGGAGTCAGGTCTGTGAGGTTCAGCTTTTATCTGGGGGGAGGGACATGGGTAGGGGTGGGAGTAAGCTAACAGGTCTGGGAGGTGGCCAACCAGCCAGGCCTTCTCTCTGCAAATGTTCCAGGACGGTTCTGACCTCCTGACCTATTACGTACAATCGGGTCCATTTTTGGCTCCCCCTCCCCCGCCCCCACGCTGTCCCCACAAGAGCCTGCGCAAGGCCCTCCCCGCAAAGCAATCCACTCTGGCGAAGTATAATAATGAATCATAAATTTTATTTCAAAATGTAAACGTCACTAAACATGCATACACGTTAAAACGATCAAATGTACAATTCAGTTAATTTTTTTTTCCTTTTGCATAGGACATCATTACAATATAGAATCTATGGCATACAAAATACATACAAAGTGGAATCCGAGCAAGCCGAGGCCAGAGTGGGGACTGTACAACGGCAATACTTCACTGTAGTGATCCGGGGCAGGATGAACGGCGCGGCCTTGGGGAGCGTGGTGAGGTGCTGGTTAGCAACAGAAAAGAAGGTTCTTACGGAAAAGGAAAAACGCGTGCTCTATGGAAATGGTCTTGGACCCTCGGATTCGGCCTCGGACGTTCGGCGCACGATTCCACAGACACTCCACCAATGGCTTTGGACGGGGAAGGGGTCGTTTGTGCGGTGGGTCGGAGGGGGGGGGCCCGCTGAGACCCCGGCGCATGCGCCCGACATACCCACACAAACAATTCCCGGCCACGCGGGAGCCCCAGCAAGCCCCGCTCCCGCAATGCACTGCTGCTCGGGACGGGGGCCACGCCCACGCCGTTGAGCCCTGGGGTCCTCGGCACCTGGCACGGGGAGACTCTCCAGGGGGGCGGCCAGGGAGCCGAGTCTCCCCACTCACACCCCCAGAGGCAGGTTCCCGGACCGGGGGATGGACGCCACACCCCCAGGGGTCTGGGCCACACTCAGCCCCGCTGAGTGGGAGGCGCAGCCCGCAGGCAGACCTGCGCGCGAGCCCTGCAGGGGTTCGGCTCACACGCTTGGTTTGCCAATGTGCGTGTGCTGTCCGTGCGTCCCTAGGAAGACGCCCCAAGCCCTGGGAGCGAGCTGCTCCAGCGGCCCTCGCCCTGCCCCTTACGATTTCTGTGCCCACCCCTCCCCCACCCTCCCCGTTCGTCCTTCAACAAAAGCAGTAAGGTTTTAAAGCTTCAGGAGGCGAGGAGAGGCTGGGCGGGGCCGGGGGGGGCACCATGCGAGTCCCACATCACCACAGGGGGGGTCAGTAGAAACTGGGTGTGCCCCCCCCCCAGGGCTCACACCTTCCGCCAAACCCAACTCTTCCAGCCGATCAGACACTGAACAGCGGGGAGGGGCGGGGGAGGGGCCCTCCCTAAGAGCGTCCAGGCATTCATCAATAGTAAGCCGGATCGCGCATCCAAGTACTGATACAAAATCCTCTGGAAGGTGTCTGGGACGAATCTTGGAAAGCTAGCCTCTGCACCAGGACATCGGCGAAGGACCTGGCTCTGCCCAGGGCCACGCCGGATTCACCAAGTCCTCGGCCCACATCCGCGTCGCCCGCTCTGGAAAACGCGGTCGCCGAAATCGCCCGCGGAACCTTCGGGTGGCAAAAGACCTGGGTGATGGGCAAAGCGCTTCTAACTGGCTGTGGGATGGGACCCATACGTCGGACCCTGTCGATCTTCCGGCACTGGGGTCTTTTGACCGAATGACTTTCTAAAACTGCTTTTAAACAAAACCAAGCCGGGCAGCCTTGAAAAACACAGCCAAAACCAGAAGTGGGCCATTGCTTTGGTCACGGTTTCCTGGTGGGCGGCTCCCCGCTCGCCCACGCGGAGACTGAAGTCCCTGCGAGCGCTGTGACCCCGTGCAGCCCGCCGAGCGCCTGCTCAGGCAAGAAAGGAGGCGGGGCCTCCCGCACACTCCAGCCCAGGGAACAGGAGACCCGTCCGCCCCGCGCTTCCCTGGAGACCGCAGGCCTTCTTGCAGGTCCCAGCAAGTGGGCTGAGGCCTGCGATTGGCCTGGCTGTCTCTCCGTCCCCCAGCCCCCACCCATCACCCATCACCCATCACAGGTTTGTGCTGAGGCACAGGGATGCTGATGTTCGCACCTGGAAGGCAGCACCATGGTGATCCCAGCCCCTGCCCGGTGTGAGGCCTCAATAAAGGGTGGGGGTCCTGCCCCTCAAGTGACATGGGTGGGGGTGTGGCAGGATGCAGGTGGGACGCCTGCAGACCAGGCTACCACTGCCCGCTCCCGCGTAGCGACCAATGGCCGAGCACCCCAGGGCCCTCTGTGGCGGCGGCTGGGTGTGCCGTCCCTCCGGATGGCTGGAGGAAGGTTCGGTGGGCACAGGTGGACAGGCAGCAGTCCCCCTGATATGGCTGAGACAAAAAGGGACATTTTCATTCGGGACACAAGCCCCCGGTGGCTGGGTCCAGGGTCTCTTTGCGGCCCTTTTGGAGGGGAGCTTCCCTCCACTCAGACAAACTTCTTTTGGAGATCTCTGCCCCCGTGACCCGGACCCAGACATGGAAACAAAGATTTGCACTGTTATTTCTAGGAAGTCTGACAGGTTCCGCCGTCACACTGAAGCCGGCAAGCATGGCCCTCAACCATAAAGATGAAAAAAACCCCTGAAAGAGACCCAGGCCGGGGAAAAGATTCTACATCTTCAATGACAATGCAGCCTGTTCCCAGAGGGCCCTCCCCTGGGCCAGAGCCAGGGTGGCTCCCAGGCCCACCCCCTCCTCCACGTGTACCCCCTGTTTCCTGATGCAGTGATGCCAGGGAGCGCCCTTGAACCTGGCCTGAGATTCATGGCTTCCCTCCCTCCCTCCCTCCCCGCCCTTCAAAGGGAGCCCCAGCCCCGGGTTCCTGGCGGGATTCCCTCCCGATGCCCCAGCTCCCAGGCCAGGGCCACACCCTGCCATTAGGGCCAGAGCCACTTTGGGAATGAAGACACTCTCATTTGCCAAAAATAGTCAACGCCTGCATATTTCTGTTTTAAGGCAATGTTACCCTTCCATCCATCAGACGGAACAGCCCTGGGTCATTTGGAGGAAAAAATTAAATTAAGTGCTCTCTTTGGAAACAGCAAATGCCCGCTCTCCCTCCCCCACCCCCCGCCCCACCTCGAAAACAAACCAGCTCTTCTTTTATTCCAAGATGACTGGGTCTGGAGTCCTCTCCCCCTCCCTGTGCGCAGATGGACCGGTCAGAAGCCCGGCCGCCCCGTGCGGGGGCGGAACTCCGGGGGCCGCCCCCGCGCTCGGGGACCCGGGGACTGGGGTAAGCACACCAAAGGACTTTGGAATAAAATTCCTGAACCTGGAATGTGAGTTCCTGAGACATGAAATGTATTCAGAGTGTGGCTCTCTCGGCCTCACACAGAAACAACTTTGGGAGGGACTTCCGGGGCCCTGCCGGGCCTCGCTTTGGAACTGGGGACGAGGACCTCACGCCCCGGGCACCGGGGCGAGCTCTGTCCAGGCCCCGCCCCCCACCCCCGTAGAGTCCACTCTCTCTCCCGGATGGATCCGTGGCCAGTGGGGCTGCCACGGGACCCAAACAGAGCCCAGCGGGAATGCCAGGGCCCAACTTGGTACCTACCATGCTACTCAGAGGCTGCCACCATGCCGCCGGCCAACCCCAGCTGACACACGGTAGCTGACGCAGGCACCCAGGCTGCTGCAAACGGCAGGCTGCCACCCTCGGCGTCCCTGTGGGCAGAGGGTGCCCGTCCCCTCTGGAGCGGCCAGGGGCTGTGCGCACCAGCCAGGCCCGGGTCGCCGGGGTTCTCTGCGCTGCACCCGGCACCCAGAGGGAGGGGTGGAGGCTGGGTGGCCACAACCAAGGCACTCTGGGCCCAGGAAGCCCATCCATGGCCCTCTGAGATCCCAAGGGTCACTCCTCCTCATCAAAAAGGGCAGAGGTCTCTGGAAGCTACCTCACGTCCGCCTCAAACCCACACCCCCGGCCTGACACACACGTACACACACACGCACACACACTGTCCTGGGAGCTTGTATTTACACGCCCCGAGTCTGCCCGGCGGCGTCGCAGAACGGCTGTCTGCAGAGGAGACCAGGGCAGAGGCCGGCCTCTCTGACCCCCCGGGGCTCGCAACCCGAGCCAGCCCAGGCCGGGGGTCTGCGCCACACAGCCCAGGGGGTTTCTGCTGTCCTCTCCAGCGGGAGCAGGCTGGCAGCCGTGGGCTGGGGCCTCCCAGGCAAGGCAGGAGAAGCAGGAGGGGACGAGAGGAGTCCAGGGGACGCAGAGCTCCAGGAGAAGGTGGAGGCGCGCCCTCTGAGCTGGGGACGCGGTGACAGCGGTCCTGCAACTTCCCAGCTGCTGTCCCCCCCGGGGAGGAAGCCATGCGAGGTCCCGGACGTCCAAGTGTCACGTGACACCCGCTTCGCCAGTCTCGGAGAGTCCCGGGTCGGGGCGCTCCGGCGTCCAGCTGGGGGTCCAGTCCCCGTGAGGCACGGGGCGTGGCCACATGCCCCAGCCCCGCCCACACAGAGCCTCAGGCGAGGCGGCCAGGCAGCTTCACCCGTCGCGGGTCCAAGCGAAGGTGTCCCGACAGCAGGGGCCGGGCCAGTGGGCAGAGCGGGGGTCTGGACGCACCGACGACGGTTTGGGACGTCTTTGCAGAACACCGGGACTCCCGGGTCCCCAGTGCCTTCTGCAGGGGCACCGAGGAGCCGGCGTCCGCGTTCGGGGCACGTCCCTGGGGCAGGCTGGGGGCCGGGGGTGGTCTCGCTGCTGGCGCATTAGACGTCGGTGGTACGGTGGTCTCTCGACCTCTGCTCCCAGCTCGCCGGAGAGAGGCCAGGGACAGGAAGGTGGTCCCCCGGGGTGGGGGGGGGCGGTGTGCTCCTTCGCCCGGCTCGGCTTAAGGCATCCTCTGACCCGTGTAAGTCCTGAGCCCGGCTGGCCGCTGGGGCGGCCGTGGCTGGAGGCTGGGCGGTGGCAGCCAGAGGGGCACTCGGGTCCCCGCTTGGACACCTGCCCTGGGAGCACAAGTGTCCGTGACCACATCCGCTCCCAAGTGGCCGGCAGCCGGACCCGCAGGCTGGACGCGGAGCTCCACGGGCACGGCTCCTCCCCCTGCGGTGTCCCCAGAGTGTCCCCGAGCGAGCCCCGGAGAGCTCCAGAGTGCAAATCTATGTACAGAGTAAGGCGGCAGGGAGGGGCGTCCTCACCGGGCCGGGGACCGTGTCCATCCCTGAGAATGGCTTTCACACCGCTGACTCACCTTCGTGGGTATGTCCATTGTGCAACTTGTGGATGGTGTTTTTGTTTTTGTTTTTTAAAAATTGTTTTTTTTTTACAAATTGAGTTTGACACCTGAGGTGAAGAAAATCGGGGAGGGGGGTGTGGTTGACTTCATCGCATTCTGATTACGAAAGGACAAAACGGGGGTCACAGGGGAGACGAGAGCGTGGGTTCATGGCTGTAGTGGGGGAGGGGCCGTGAGCGGCCGGTGGGGCGCAGGGGTGGGGGCTGTGCTGCTGCTGGGGGACTCGGGGACGCGGGCCGCCGCCGGAGGGGCGGTGGGGGGCGCTCAGGGCGAGCTGGCCGGGCTGATGGTGGGGCTGCTGGCGTCGGAGCGGCTGTAGTCGCTGAGCGAGCCGGTGCGCGAGCCCCCGCCGCGCCGCTGCAGCATGCCGGGGTGGAAGTTGGCGTGGCGGCGCGCGTGCTTGGTCAGGTGGTCGCTGCGCATGAAGCGCTTGTCGCAGATGGGGCAGCTGAACTTCTTCTCGCCCGTGTGCGTGCGGTAGTGCCGCGCCAGCTCGTCCGAGCGCGCGAACTTCTTGCTGCAGTCCGGCCAGCTGCAGGCGAAGGGCCTCTCACCTGTGGACGACATGAGCACAGCGTCAGGAGGGGTGCAGCCCACGCGACCTCAGGGCACGCCCCTCCGCAGCCTGGCCGCCCCCACCCAGCGGCGATGCACCCTTTCTCTCTGTGCCCCATCCCCACCAGGGCATGACAAACCCATCAAGCCAGAGGTGCGCTTGCCTGTGTCCTGCCGCGCGAACCTGGGGAGGGCAGTGGAGCTCTCCCAGGATCAAACCGCGGCGGCATTGCAGGTGCTGCGGCTGCAAGAACCTGGGGCGCTGGCAGTGGCCCTATAAGTACACAGCAGGGCCGCCACTACCGGTCTGTGCAGTCTGCTGTCCCCCGCCTGCCGGGAGCGCAGGCTGGGAAGGGTGGAGGCCCCAGAGGGCTGGGACCCCCGGGGGAGTCCCGTTGCCCTCTCCTGGCCTTGAACCCCTGCAGGGCCTGCGCACAGACCTCGGCACCCTCCTCAGCCCCAGCCCTGCCCCTCGGGTGTGGCATGAGGGCGTCTGCCCAGGTGAGTTCCGGGGCCTGAGCGTCTGGTTCAGCTCCACAGGCTCCAACAGCGGCCTGCTCCTGTTCACAGAGGCCCCAGTATGGCCAACAGGACGGGAAACTAACAGGCTCCTGCAGAGCTGAGCGGGGTCCCAGAGAAGGGTGGCCACCCAGGACACCCTGGCAGAGAGAGGGAGCCAAGGTCAGCTGTGGCCAACACCTCGCCCCTCCCCACAGTCCTTGCTCATCGTGAGAGCCAGGCCTGCATCTACCCAGGCACCTTCCGAACCCTGGATGCCACCAACTGCTCAGGAAGAGCCAGCAGGGGGGCCTGGCACCCCCAGGGTGCAGCCCTTCTGGCACTGAGGTGGCCACACAGCCACCATGCCCCCCCCCACCAGCTACCACATGTCCTTGACGCCGGACCACCTGTGCCCGGCTGAGCAAATCCACGCCTCCCGCCCTGAAATTGCCCAGCAAACTTAAATATAAACAGACACCCAAGGCCGGCTAGACAGTGGAGGAAAACCAGCGGCCTGCAAGGGAAGGGAAAGGCCGAGAGCCACAAAACCACCGCCTCCAGCAGAAGAAGACGGAAGCCAGCGAGCAGAAGAGAACACGAGCCTAACGTTCCTGACGCACACTCTCGGAGCAACTACAGACCAAACTCGACGCCTGCAGCAAGCAGGAGGCCATAAAAAGGAAGTCCAGAGGAAAAAAAAAAACAGTGTTTAGAAATGCAGAGTGTCTTTGCCCAAACACAAATTCCATGGAAAAGCTGGAAATGCACTCAAGAAAATATCCCAGAAAAGAAAGGGCAGAAAAAGAGCTCTAGAAAACATGGCGCCCGCATGGCCCGCCTGTTCATGCTGAAGTCAAGGGCTGTGGGTGGTTGGCTGTATTTGCTTGTCCTTGTTGATTTTATGTTTTGGGGGGGGAAGGGTGTGTGCGGGGGAGGGGGTGGAAATAGATAGGGAAGCATTTCCCAAAGATTTGTGATTGTTACACACAGTGGAAGCTAACAGTTCAGAGTCACGGGGAAATCGACCCTGGGGGTGCCACAGATAACAGAAGGCAGTGAGTAAATGATCGAAAAAAAGGGGCGAGGACAGCACTAAAGGCACCATAGGACATATGAGGGGACAGAGCTGGGACAACAGATACATGGGCGTTGTTCCTAAGTCACACTGGATGAGAGACGAGGAGGACCTTCCAAGCCAACCTCTCACACTCCAGTATAAATGAGGAAAAAAAAACAAGCTAGAGGAGTGAACAAACAATGGAAGTGGGGGGGGTCTCAGGACAAGAGTGAGGCAGAGCCCGGGGTGGGGGGGGGACACTGGAGCAGAGGGCCGTGACACACACGGCAAGAGCCCCATGCCCCGGTGAGTATGACCATGAGGCCGAATACATTTTAGGTCCCCTCTGGTGAAAAGGAGGGGGAAAAAAGGCAATTAGAAACTCCAGGAGAAACAGAAGCCTTGCGAGACCACTGTGGTGTATGAAGCAACGAAAGGGCCATGTGCTTATGAGCAATCAGCGAGCGCTCTGAGCCACACTCTGTTCTAGGGGCTTTTTCTATGTTTTTTTTTTTTTTATTCCTCACAACAGCCCCATGGGGAGGCAGAAGGGACAGGCCCTGGCCCAGGGAAGGGATCTTACTTAATGCGGTCTTGCTCACATGTCCCGTAACCTAGTTGTCAGTGTTTGGAATGGCTGCATCTTCCAGCCGAGGCCCACGCAGCTGACTCATGACCCCAGTAGAGAATGTGGATTTCAGGGAAATGGAGAGGCTCACACACACGTGTGCCCGAAGGAAATCCCTACATGAGGTTCCGGTTACAGGGATGATCAACCAAAGAATTCAGACGACATCTATCCACTCACGGGCGGAGTCGAGGGAAGAGGTAGGAGCCTTTAGCATATGTACAGAAATAACAAAAATCAAAAGAGATAACAAAAATCAGGGCACTGCTGGTCTCTTGAGAATAAGGCTGGATTAAGATCAGGATTTTTGTTGTTGTTATAAGCTCTTCCGTGTTATGCGTCTTTTAAAAAAAATCGTAGGCATGTACTGCCTTGATAGCAGTGAAAAGAAGGATGTTTAAATAGAATTCTTTAAATATCTAGGCAGAGTTCCCCAAACTGTGTTCAAAGAAACATCAGAACTGAATACATTGCTAATGGGCCCCAGGAAGGGGTGAGGGGAGTCTTGTCAACAAAAACGTCTGAGAAATCAGCTGCAGGCTGATTCCACTCTCGGAAAATCACAACGTACGTTTGTTATTATGCTTGGAAAGGTCCGCGTTCAGAAGCACGATTTCCTGGGACCAGGTGCTGAGTGCGCGAGTTTGGTGCGCCAAGAGCTACGGAGGAGGCTCGGCCGGGGTCCACGGTACGTTGATGGGCGTGGCCTCAGACAAGCACCTCATTGCCCGCGGTGGCTCAATAGCGCCCCCACGAAGTATGTCCAAGTCCAGATGCTTGAAACCTCTGAATGTGTCCTTCTGTGGCAAAAGGGTCTTGGCAGCCCTGGCCGGGTGGTTCAGTTGGTTGGAGCCTCATCCCATACACCAAAACGTTGCGGGTTCAATTCCCGCTCAGGGCACACGCCTAGGTTGTGGGTTCGATCCCCTGTTGGGGCGTGGACGGGAGGCAACCAATTCATGTTTCTCTCTCATATCAATCTTTTTTTCTCTCTCTCCCTTCTTTCCTTTCTCTGTCTCAAATCAATAAACATATCCTTGGGTGAGGATTGAAAATATATATGTAAAAAAAAAACAACCTTTGCAGATATAACTAAGGTACAGGTCACCGGTGTGCTTAGAAGAGAGAGCCACCCAATGAGGAGGGAGAAACACAGACAGTGGCCACGACCACAGGAAGCTGGGCGCAAGCAGGCGACGCCTTCCCGCTCAGAGCCTCCGGAAGGGCCTAGCACCGCCGACACCTCGATCGCAGCCTCCTGCCACCTCCCCCGCAACAGGGCGAAAGGGCCCCTTTCTGTTGCCACTCCCAGCAGCCACATGGATCGGACGCCATGCCCACCCTTCCCCTGAGGGCCACCACCAGCCCGTGGTCCTGCGCCCGGCAAACGCCAAGCGCTGACTCCAGAACATGTTGCTTATTACTGTTTCTCCTGTCCATTATCCCCACCAACTAGGTCTTCCTTTCAGCTTGGACGAAAGAGGTACCACCAAATTCAGACTCGCCCTTGCTTCCTAACAAGCCCCTTCTCCTTTCCTCAGGAATCCTTCTGCTTATACCCCTGGGGGGCACGCGGAGTGGGGGGGGGGTGTTAATTACGGACAGGCTCCGAGCTGCCGGCCGGGCATGGGAGGTGGGGAGAGCCCGTGGCCCCTCACACCAGCACGCAGCTCCTGGCCTGCCCGGGCCTCCTCGGCAGCTCAACACTTTGGGCACAAACCCGAAGCCTGGTGCCGGGGCCGTGATCGTGACGCAGACAGACAAACAGACAGGGTCTGCCCGGGTCTGGTCGGCATACTCAGTCCGCCCGTCCCCGAGGGGAGATGGCCTGTACACCGGCCCACAGGCCGCTGGGCGAAACATTTGGAAGTTGTGGTTCCCGCTGGCGTGGAGCCGCGCCAGGGCCTGCCGGGCCGGCCTCTGGGCGGGGACGTTCCGGTGCCACCCGGGAGGCTGCCGGGAAGGGAACGGCAGCCTGGGGGGGCGGGGGACAGCGCTCCTCACACCCCCAGAGGCGAGGGCCTCGCAGCACTGGCCAGGAGGCGGATGCCCACTGATTCAAACGGAAACACATGTAAACTCCAGCCCTCATTCCAGGGACGTCACCGCGCCACCTGGAGCCTCTGGAATATTCCATTGTACTGTTTGGAGAGAAAGAAGGACCGATGAGGCTATTGGGAAAACAGTTTTCACCTCGAGGCCCCGGGGACGGTCTCAGGGACGGACAGGTGTCCCTGGACCTCACTCGGAACACCCTGCCTCTGGGGGCCCACCCGGGGTGCTGGGCTGGGCTGAGTGCACGGCGCTGGGGGGAGGTGCCCCCCGGAGTGGGTGGGGGCCCTGCAGAAAGTCCACCCGATGGACTGAACAGCTTCCTCCTTGCTGAGCTCAGATTCCACACCTGCCCCCTCCCTGGTGCAGGATGCGGGGGGGGGGCCAGTGTCACCCCCACGGGACTGCCACAGGGACAGCGCGGTCCCCCCAGGAGTGACCCTGGCCCTCCCCGATTACTCCAGGACCCCGAAGGGAGCACTGCCTGCCCTCGATGGCACCCAGAAGCTTGAATGTGAGCAGCCCCGCTCCACGCAGAAGCCCCTCTGTCAGGAGGAGGGGCTGTTTGCCAGAGGGGCTGTGGGACGGGATGCTGAGGGGGCTTGTGGGGGGCTGGGTGAGAGGAAAAGGGGCCGAGTTCACATCTTGTGGGGTGCTGGGTGCACATGGAGGGGGAGGTAGGGTGGAGGAGGGGGCCTTGGGGACCCAGGGGCTGGGGGAGGGGCCAGGCCTTGCAGGGGTGGGGGGTGGAGGAGCTGGTG